CGTTTTTCCTTATCCGAATGAAAATAATCTATATATAGGCTTATTTCTGGATTTTATATTAAGAATCCTTATCGCGATAATATATCATGGTTGTTCCTATGGAGAATAGACAATGACTTATTTTATCATCATTATTAGTTTGTTGCAATCCAGTACAACGTAATTCTTCCACAGCTCCCAACAGTACACAAAGACTTACAAACTTCATGATGTTGATTTCAGTCCTGAACTGATGTACTGGTCTCCGAATTGGAAACTTTATATACACCAAAGGAAAGGCTGTCCTTGAATCACCTTCCCCACCTCCCCCTCCCCCCCTCCTTCTCTCCATGCACTTCGTCCCAAACGATGTTGCTCGTCATGACCGCGTTTGCATGAATCTTCTAGTTTTCCTCTGATATCAAAGTTCCAGATTTTATGACTAGTTGGTCGAGATATATACATAAATATGTTTGCTGGTTTATTGGGCAAGTATTGTTCATTTGCTCAATTTTGTCTTTCCTTTATGAACAATTTTCGTTTTTTTTTTTCTGTTGTCTCGGTTTTTCTACCTATTATTTTTTCATTATTATTATTATTATTATTATTATTATTATTGCTATTATTATTATTATTATCATTATTATTATTATTATCATCATTATTATTATCATTATTATTAATCATAATCATCATCATTATTATTAATCATAATCATCATCATCATTATTATAATTATTATTATTATTATTATCATTATCATTATTATTAATCATAATCTTCATTATCATTATTATTCCTCTTTCTCCTACTCTTCCTCTTCTTCTTCTTCGTCTTCATCTTCTTTTCCTTTATTAGGAAAAGAAACAGGATTGACCCCTCAAATCTTATTTAGTAATGGAAACAAAAAACCCGTGAAAAATAATTATATAGTCAGAAGTAAAACAACTCTTGTGTTCGGATAATTTTATAATTTGAAATCATGTGATCCTATTTCACGGCTTTGCACACCAAATAGTGACTCAAGGGATGCGTGTATGTATGTGTGTGTGTGTGTGTGAGAGAGATAGAGAGAGAGAGTGAGTTTGTACGTGTATGTGGGTGTGTATGTGTTAATCTATGAATATATTGTGTACGTAGCGTATATATAGAATATACTTATACATAAAATTTCTTTATCTCTGTCTGTCTCTCTCTGTCTGTCTCTCTCTCTCTCTCTCTCTCTCTCTCTCTCTCTCTCTCTCTCTCTCTCTCTCTCTCTCTCTTTCAAACACACACACACCTTTTTCATACACATACACACCTTGTCGCACATACGTTGTGCACACACTACCACACATTACCATGA